AAAATAATTAAATTATATTTATTAATATTTAAATTCTTTTTTTTTAGATAATGATAATATTACTATAGATGAGGATTTTGAAGATAATGAAAGTGTATTTGATGATAAAGAAAGTGATGATGATAATAATGAGAAACAAAATTTTCTAAATAATACACAAATGTCTTTATCAGACATTAATAATATTATTAATTCTGTCAAAAAAGCAATATATGACGTGCTATTTGAATATTTTAATTTACCACCTGAAATTGCTGTACTTGCTAGCCTTTTAGATTCAAGATTTAAAAAAATGTATGGATGACCTGAAGAAGTGTGTGAAATGGCAATATCTTCATTAAAAAGAGAATATCATTTATTAAAAAATGAAGAAACTATTATACCTCAAATAAATTCAAGAAATAATTATCTAACGGGCGGGTTTAAATCGCGTTTATTTGGATCATATGAAATAGATGAAAATGATGATGAAATCAATTGATATTTGGATAATTTTAGAACTCCACAAGCTATACCTGAAATGGATCTATTTCAATGGTGGATTGATAATAAAAAGAAATTTCCAACTTTATTTAAAATAGCTAGAAAATATTTGAGTATACCAGCCACATCTGTTCCAAGTGAACGGCTTTTAGTGATGCTGGAAATCAAATTACCAAAGATCGGACCAGTTTAAAACCAGAGACTGCTAATGAATTATTGTTAGTAAAACGAAATAGTAAATATTATAATCCTTTTGTATAATTGTATGTTGGCAAATTAAAGAGATTTTAGTAGTTATTATAATATTTGTAATTGATAAAAATTAGCTTATTGTAATTTTTTGATGCTTATATTAATATTAATAAATCAATCAATGATCGAGCAATTAAAATTTGATTTTTAGTTTATTTTTTGATTGAACAATGAAATCAATTAAGAAATCAATCACACGTGATCAATCAAATAAATCGTTTTTTAATTGATCAAGTAAGTAAGAGATCGACCAAATCATCGATTATGATTTTTTTTATCAATTAAATGCCTTACTCTATTATTACATTATTCTGCTCTTTTTTTTTTAAGTTAAAAATCAACTCTTTTAAAATTTAAAGTACTTTAATTTTTACTATATATTTTATATTATTTATTTTATTTTATACATTAAAACAAGTGTTATTTTAAAATTATAATTAATATTTAAAATAAAAATCAAATTTTACTAGTCAAATATCTGAAAGAAAATAATTTACTTTGATCTTTTTTTGAAATTTGCTAAAATTATTGGATATATTTATGATATATCTTAAAATTTTGTTAGACAAAATCTAAAATATAAAATTTTAAGTATTGATTATATAACATACTAATAAATATAAAATTATAAATGATAATCATTTTATTATAAAATTTTGCTAAATAAAAATCTGTTTTCAAAAAATATACTAATCAAAAATTTGAAATCTAAAAATTTTATTAGATATCTCTTAAAAATTTCAGCTTTTGTCAAAATTTATAATACTATTTTAAATACTAGTTATAATGTTAAATTTTTTTTAAAATACTTTTTAACATTTATAATAAATTAGATATTCAGAATATTAAAATATATTTTCATTAAAGTATTTCTATATTAGTAATGTTTAACATAATTAAGATTTATTTTCTTTCTTATAATTATCATTTACTTTACTCTTTTCCTTATTTATAAAATTATCTTTAATATTTTAGTCTTATTTATCATTAAAAATTTATTATATTCTTTATCCTTAAAATTAATATTAGAAAAATCATTATTTAATATTAATTTATTTTTTTTTAAAAAAAATAAAGAAAATTTTAATGGAAAAATAAAAATAAAATATGTTAATTGAATGCAGTTAATTTAATAGAAAAGATTTTATAATAATCTTTATTTTTTATCTTATAACTATAGATATTTTAAAGTAGAAAGAAAGAAATTACTAAAAAAATTATTTTACTTTATAAACTAATATTATTTTTTAGTTAAATAATTCTAGAATAAACATTAACTTAAAAAAAAATTTTTTGTTTTTTCTTTTACTATAAAGTATTTATATGCTATTATAATAATATAAGGACTGATTAAAACTATACTATTAAGTCCTAAAATTTAGAATTTCTTTTAAAATTGAGTTTAAAGACTTAATCCTAAAGTTTTGAAATTAAACTTTTTTCTATCTATAAAACTTAGAACTATATTAAAGCTTATAAAATATATAACTTTAATTATATAAATTATTTTTACATTAACTAATTAAGAAAAAATTATAAAAAAATGATTTATAGAGAAAATAAATAAAATTTTTAAAAAATTTATGATTTAAAAATTTAAATACTTATTAAGAAGAAAGTTTAAAATTATTTAGAATAATTATAAGCTTTTCTTTCATAAAAATTTTTTTAGATTATTACTTTTATTATTTTTTAACTAATTTAAAATAGATTGATTTTTTTATATTAAAGATTTTCAAATATGATAAACTTAAAAAAACCAATTTATATCAGTATCCTTTTCTTTTTTTTCCTTTTAATTTACTGAACTTTAATAGATAAAGAACTTTAATATAAAATGGTAAAAGAGGTTTATAAATCCTATAAAACTATTGTAAAGTTTAGAAGACTTAATAAAATATGCTTCATTTTTTAAATTTCAGTAGGAGAAATATCTAAAATTAAATCATAGAATTATCAAGATTTGTAAGAAAAAATATAAAGTCTTTAACTTAAACTCAATAATATTCTGATAGGATAATCTTAATTCAATAACATCTTAAATAAAGAAAGTTTACTTTTGTAAAATCTTACAATACCTATAGATTCTTTAAAATTATCTAATTGAATTAAGATTATGTCTATTCATTAAAATAAGAAATTTGATAACATTATCGACTATTAAATCTTTAACTTTAGATCATATACTTGTGAATTAAAATTTCTCAAATCTTTTAATTATATTAGCAGAATCATTTTTAGTTAAATAAATCTATTTTGTATAGTTAGCAATATTTATAACATTAACGTTAAGTGCAATTTTATAAATTTTTTACATACCTTTACTTATTAATATTATAAAATACTTCAATTATTTTCACTTTAACTACAGTTTAGGATAATATTATAAATATTTATAAGTACTTTTATAACAAATGTGTTTTTTGTACAGAATGTTTTGTGCATACATAGGTAGATCGGTCCAGTCCGGACCAATTCATAAGGCCTATTCAAGAACCGGTTCTTTATATATTTTTTTGTTAGGAACTTCCTATGGTTCATTCAAAAATGATTAATAAATTTAATAAATTCGTGTATAAAAATACTTTTGCGACTTTAAATTGTAAAGAATATAAATTATTATCAATGTTTTTTTTTACACACTTTTAATCTAATTTCAACTTTTTACTAATCAAAAACAATTTTATATGCCGCTTAATCTTAAGTACGAAAAGAATTCAGTATTTTTATACATTATTAGACCAACGATAGATCATATACCAAAGTCATAAAATAATAAAAATTAAATTGAAGTATTTAATAAAAATATATACAAAAAAATACATCGTTAAGGATGCATAAATTCCCTAAAGATCTCGTAATATTATTTATCACTAGTGTCATTTCCCGATTCATTTTTATTGACGAACCCATGAAAGCTGGCTTGTTAGTTTCCAATCCGAACAAGAAGGTATGATTTTACCTGCAAAAGAAAGACAATATTAATAGTGTTCGCACAAGTACTGCTATTTTTCCATTCTAATTCAGAAACGTCTCACAAAAAAAAGGGAACATACGTTTCAAATATAATTAAGCTATTCTTCAAAACATAAATTATAGGTCTAAATTAACATGGGCTTTAAAATTCAAAATACTGCTCTTTATGAAATCCATTCTTTTTGATTTTCGATCTAAAAAGTTTCCTAAAAAACTTTTAATAATTAAGATAATTAAAAAGAAAAATTGATCTTTTCAAGTAAAATTAACAAAATTATTTATATTGTTTAACAAAGTTCATTTATAATACAATTAGCTACTTTTTGACCGATAAAAAAGAAGAAATTCAGAAAGAAAAAAATTAAAAACGCTAAATTATACTAATGTGATTTAGCAATAACTTATTAATATGAGAATTTACTTACGTTCTCCTGAGCTTTCTAATTCTCAAAGGTGTATCCGGAAAGAATCTCATCTAAAAAAATTCAAAATAATGTTATGAATTTATAAATTAATTAAAAAAAAAAGTAATGGTAAATCAATAACGTATCAACCTAAATCCATTTCATAATCGTTATCATCATAATCCAAATGGATAGGATTAGTTAAGCTTCCACCATCTAATTTCTTTTCATGATCGTCTGTATGAACCTTCTTTAAAGGTGGAATTTCTAGACTCGTATCGCTATCGCAGTCGATTTCCTCGTATAGCCAAGAGCGCTTCTTATTATTGTCTGTTGAATTATGTTCTGCCGAGAAATCTTTACTGATACTCAAACTATGTTCTGAAGGCAGTTGAATATCTGATTCTGAAGACATCGCTTTATATTCGTCTTCAAGATTTTCAAAAAGCGACAATAATTTATTCTTAGTTTCTTTAGAAATATGATTAGGATCGTTTGCTTCTTCGATAATAACCATAACGTCCTTTTTATTGTGACATAAAACATCAGCCGGTGGTAAATCACAGTCATCGGAATCTATAAGAACCATATTGTCATCATTACGAAAATCGTCAAAGAAATCTTGATTCTGCTTCTTGTCATTATCATTATTTGTGCGTATGTCAACTGGAATAAATTTTTCTTCAATTAACATATAAGAGAGGTCATCTTGTACGGAAAACGGATCTATACCACAATTAGATAGCATTGAGGAGGAAACTTTCTGTTCGGTTTCTTTCAATCCAGAATTAGATCGAATTGGTGATGCATTAAAGTCTGGTTCATTCGAAGATATTGATAAATGAGAACGGGATGTATTGTAGTAAGACGATCTATCCTCTTCTGAATTAGAACGTTTTGATGAAGCAATAAAAGTTGGTTTAATAAATGGTGTTTTTTCATCTAAATTAGATCGCGGAATTAAAGTTCTCGATAATGAATTAGATCGTGCTGAATTATCAAATTGTGGTTCAGGATTAAATGATGTTCTAGCAGAAGAATTACATTGTATTAGATTGTTAAATATCGGTTCCTGATATGGGACTCTCGTTATAATATTAGGTCGAGTTGAATTCCTGAATATCGGCTCGGGACATGAGTTTTTATTATATAAAGGTACTATTCTCGGATGTTGATTTGATGTTTCAGCTTTAAGCAAAAATCTTTTCAATTTTGTAAGATCTGGCATATTTGGGACATCTTCAAATACAACTCTAGCCAATCTGCCACCCGTAACACCAGATAGAAAAGCTGGATTATCACACGGATGCAAAGTATTAAATGAGATTTGTGATTCATCTTCTATGCTCTCGTCTATTGTCATTCTAAAATATAGAATCTTAATAAAGTAAAAGGAATCGACTTTAAATAAATAATTGAATTACTAGAATAATATAATAATATACCCTAATATTTCCATGAAAGTTAGTTTTAAATCTCCGAGTCTACGAGATGTCCATTCAAATCCGTCACAAATGAATGTATTTTCGGGCGTAAGAAATAACACATTCTCTGCATATTTCGCATTATTTATTAAAACCTGTTAAGAAATGTTATTAGTTTGATAATCGTAATCCAAAATTAATAACATGTTAACATACCTTTTTACCAATGGGTGTGTTTAGACTAAGCTCAGGTATTCGTTTATATTCCATTCCTTTAATTTTCTGTTGTCCATCAGACAAAAGTAAATATAACATTTTTCTCGGAAATTCTAACTGTTTTTCTGATTCTCTATTATTCTCTTCTGTAATATTTGCTTGAGTTGATTCAAATTCATTCAGAATTTGTAATAATTTATAAGTAGGTATTCCAACCTCTATACATTCAACAATTTCAAGTAATATCGGACCATTTTGAGCAATAATTCCATTTTGAAATTCATTTAAATTTGGCAAAGTAGGATAAATAACATCTGATAAATCAGAATGTAATAGTTCAAAAAATATTCGATTTAAAAGTTCATTAATATGAATCATTTCCTTTTCTGAAAGTACTTTTGTTAGAGCTTTCTCTAAACCATCACGTCTAAATTCAAACGTTGTTTTTGAAAAAGTCATTTCAATATGAGTAAAAATTGATTCATTAATTTCACTCGGAACCATCTCTGAAAAATTTAATATTTCGTGAGTAAATGCTTTGCAATTATATAAAGAAAAAAGAAGACTTACTCTTTTTCTCGCGTATACGCGTGAATAAGGCTGAAAGAAAGAAAAAAACGAATAAAATAAACTTCTTGAACAGACGCGGTTTGAATGAGCACGCGAACTTTAAATGAATACGATTATATCACAATATAAATATCACGGTGATATATCGTTTCCATAGTAAATATTTAAATAAATAAATCCAAATAATAATTTCACTCACTGTCAAAAGATGATAAAATCATTAGTTTATTAATAAAAGCATAACAAATTTAACTGCTATAGATATAGTTATACATTTTAAAAATCTATTTTTATAAGTAAAACTACTAATAAATACTATTAAAAAACAACATATTAGTTAATAAAGAAATATATAATAATTTAAAATTTTTAATTGTAACTTTAAATTCAAACTTTATTTAATTTTAAATTTTCTATAAAAATATTATTATTTATAAATATGTATTAATTAGCATTAGTTATTTTATAAATAATTTTAAGATATTATAATTTTATAATACCAATTGTAAAAATCAAAATATTCTATGATTTTCTATAAAATAATTGGCTTTTATTATAAAAATTACCATTCTGTAATTAAAGAAACTTTTGTTAAATATTAAAACCATTTTTTTTTATTCTTATTCTTTTTCACTTTTTTATTAATTATGTATAAAAATAAAGAAGTTTTTCCTCAAATATTTTTCTTTTAAATTTTTAAATAATAGTAAATTCATTTAAAACAAATAATTTTTAAAAACTTTAAATGTTAATTTTATTATTAATAATATATAGTATATTAAGCTAAAATCTATTAAATATCTATTAAAATAAAATTATATAATTTGAAGATTTTTATTTAAATTGTTTATTAAATTTAATTAACAATATTCTATAATTTTATAATACAATAAAAAAAATAATATAGAATATAGACATTTTTAATTAAATAAAAAGTGAAAATTAAAGCTCTAAATAGATCAATTTAAGATATATCAATCAAGTTATTTGAATTAAAAAGATCAAATTAGGTAATTTTCATTTAACCTGATTTGATCTAACTGAATTATTCAAATAGAATGATTTATTATTATTCTTATTAAATGATTAACTATTATTTTATATTTGATCAAAAGTAAATATATATATATTATTATTTTAATTCGTATTTATTCCTATAAATCATGCATTTATCTAATCATGTAATCAATTTAGTATATTAGTTTTATATATTAGAATTTTTTAAATATGAATCTGATTTTTAAAAAAATAATTGAAAAATCAAGAGTTTGTTATATTATAAGTTTGTTATAGAATATATATAATTATGAAATTAAAATTTTATATAATAATTTATTAAGAAAATTACTATACATTACTATTAGTGTTCAGCATCAATTTTCTATTTAAATAATTTATCACCTTATGTTACACCTTCCATATTTCATTTTTACTATATATTTTAGAAATTTAGAATTTTTTGAGTGTAAAATCATATTCGTTACATATTATTCATCACATTCTTAATTTTAGCCAAAATTTATAATTCTGACTAAAATGTCTTTTTAAGATATTAAGTAATATTACATAAATCAAAAAAAGCAATTTGATTTTGACAAAAATCTAAATATAGATAAACTTTTAAAAAAGAAAATTTATATTAACAGTGATGATTACCAGTAGTAGTAAATAGTAAACTCTATTTATTAATATAATTTTAATTTGTTAAGAAATTTATTAAGTAATATTTAAATATATGTATAACATAAGATTTTAATAAGACTAATTTTTAAACTCCACCCCTTAAAATATTTATTATAATTCTAAAAAAAATACTTAGTTGACTGTATATAGGTAATAGATTATAGTTTAAGTAAATTTAGGTTTTAAATTAATAGATATATATAAAAATATTTTATTGTAAATTTATAATAAATATATAGATTAGTTATATACATTTAAATATTATATATATAATATATTTGTAATATTACATATTTAAATAGTAGCTTAGACATAATTTTCTTAACTACCTTATTCTTTCAAAAATAAACAACTTCTGAAAATAAGCAACATTTCAAAAAAAATTGAAATTTTTTTTTTTTAATAAAATTTTTTTTTGTAAATAAATAATTACATTATTAGAATTAAAAAAAAATATATATTATAAAATTACAATATATATGAATTGAGCAATATTATACTTTGTCCTATAGTTAATCTAACAATACGTAATATTGATTTATAGGTAATGATAATGATGATGTTCTGTTTAATGATGAGAGACGAAACCCCTTAATAACAGTTGAAACTTAGACGAAACTATATTAAAATCATAATAAGAGATACGACGAAACCCTTTTGATACAACGAAAGCTGAAACTGTCGAAACTATATTAAAAACATAGAAAAAAATATGACGAAATTATTTTGAGAAGGTTTCGGCAGGCATCTATAGTTCTGTTAAATCCTCGTCTTACACCTTGATTTGATAACACGTGATAATGAATTATTAGTGTTTATTCAATTTTATAATTCAATAATATCATTATCATTAATAGTGAATATTGTTATCATAAATTTCATTAACATTATCATTATTATGATAATTAACATTATCATCATTAACATCATCATTATAATCATTAACATGAATGAAATTCAATCATCAAAAATCATATAATTTAATAGTTATATGATCAAATTTCTTTATTTTATTAAACTACTCAAAAATAAGCAATACTATAATATAAAAGTATTGCTTATTTTTAAAAGAATACAGTATTATATATTGTAAATTAGTATATAATACAGGTTAAGAATATGATTTACTTTGTAATTAAATAGTATCAAGTAAATAAAACTAATAATTTGTAATTATTTTTATAATGATTTACTATGATAATATTTTGTTCAATAAATTTAATTAAATTAAAGATTTTATTAATAACAGTTAATAATATTTTGTTCAATAAATTTAATCAAATTATGGATTATGTTAATATAATAGTTATGTAATATTATATAATTTCTAAAAAGAAAATTTTATTTTTTATTGAAATTAAAATTATATCATATAAATTTTTAAATAGGAAATCAATTAACATTAGTAATGATTACTATTAGCAAAGTTCATTTTTTATTATCTGAAGCATAAGAACAATTAAATATAATGAAAAAGTAATATAATGTCATTTTGTTCTGCATATAGATTAACTAATAGAATTCTGTATTAGTAATATATGTCTCATATTAAAAAATTGAATAAAAAATTAATTTTTATTATAAGTCCTGTTATACTTCAAACTAGAACAGTTAATTTTCCCTAGTTATAATAAATTATCTATATATTAAAAACTAATATAAATTATTTTGAATAAAATTAAACAAATTTTTTATTAATTGATTTAAAATCAAATATATTTCAACTGATTTAACTTTATTTTATTTTATGTATTTATTATTTTTTTTATTATTATTCTTAATAGATAATAATAAAATTTTGATTAATCTAAAATTTTTATTTTAAAAATTATTTGGATTAAATTAATTAAGAAATAAGTTTAGATAAGTAGCCTTAGCATTTGAATAAAAGAAAAATTACTATTTTAAAGTTTTTTTTAATTAAACTATCATTAGATTTTAAATTTATTAAAAAATATTTGCATAAAAATATAGTATAAATATAAATGTTTGTGATCGTCGCACTGCAGATCACGTTGATAACATATTTTCATTTTGGTCGTCTCATTTAAAAAAAACTTTTGCCCGGAATCATCTAGTAAAAAATTCAGGACTATAGATCTTTGCTAAGTTATTAACGAAGTTTTGAAAGGCTAGCAAAAGTGTGTAAGATTCTTTCGGAGCTTCTTTTTATAGTCCAATTTATTTAATCTGGACGACGGCACACATTGTACAAAAATTCATCTGAATATTAAGTAAAAGGCAATTGAAAGACAAATTTTTAAAGATCTTAACAACAATACAGGTTAACCAATCTTCTCAAAAGAGCTATAGAGAGTAACGGTAAGAACAAAGCAGCGCAGCGCACTTTAAGGTACGATTCAGGTTGATGCTCAAGGCTAGACAGATCAGACTTTGAGTTTATTAGCGATTGTCGTTCTTGGAGCAAATCTTAGGTTGAATAATGTTGTACAATCTATGTAAACCTTTTCTGAGTCTAACTCAAAAAGTTTCGAACAAAGCTCTTAAGAAACAAAACATGTATTCTTTCAATTTTATCGGAGATTTGTTCTTTTGCTTTTTCTTAGAGAGTTTACATTCCAATTGAAATTATGTAAAATCATTTCGGAAGCCTATTTCAAAGGCCACAAAGTTCTTTCTCTAGTTCAGGTGCTGACAATGATAATATATCTCCTTCTGGAATTTCAAATATATGTGATATAACTTATAGATATTCTGGTTCCAAAATCAATTATCTCGATTGCGAAGATACTCCTTGAATTCTTTTAAAAAAGACGATCAATGCCAAGTGGGGGTGTCAAAGTTTATGTCGGTAACCTACCGGACCGAGCCAGACCAGAGGACATTAAAGAATGTTTTTCGAAGTATGGCAACGTAGTTAACATGGAGCTGAAAGGAAACTATGGATTCATTGTAAGCGTTTCTCTGTGGTGATCAGAAATATTTTTGAGTATCAAATAAAAGCAGATCTACATGGACCTGCGAAAGGTTCATGCGTCCAAAGGATTTCTACCTATAACTCTCATATATATATCCACATATGTATATGAAAATGAATTTTGCTTATTTATGAAATCCTTTGGACGCATAGTCTTATGGCGGGAAAGGAAGATTCTACTCATAAATTGACAAATAATTAGTACTGACATATAACTGCAACATAATAATGAAAGGAATACGAAGAACGTCAGATATGTGAAGAAGCGATTGCTTCTCTTGATGGAACCGACTTTCAAGGATCTCATCTCCGTGTAGAGTTTGCTCATGGCGAAAGGAGTGGAACTTTCAAAAGTCATTACAATCATAATCACCATCACAGTAATCATCATAACAACAGCAGCAACAACAGAGGAGAAACAAAGTCCACCGATACATGTTATAAATGTGGTTTAGTCGGTCACTGGGCACGAGAGTGTACTAGGTAAGCAACTGTCGTGGTCAAAGGAGCTAGCAACTTCTATTAAGGAATTCAAAAGAAAAAAAAAAAAAGTGTTGGCTACTTCTATCTAGTGCAGTATAACAGTTTTAAGCAAATTCGAGCTATTCATCAAGTGTTGAGAACGCTGCAAACAAGTCAGCATAGCCTTGAGAAATTCTGATGTCTTAAATAATTGCTGTCATTTAGCATCGGGCGTGAATTTGTATCTCGAAAACCTGGTAGATACGACGATCGTCGTTCCAATGACAATTATGTTAAGGAACCATATAGTACAAGAGAAAACCGGGATAAATACATTAGGGAAGAAAGGTATCTTCCTCCACCTCCTCCTGAACGTGGTGGATATGATCGTCCTTATGATCGCTATGGAAGAGAACCTCCAGAAGTGGAATACAGAAGAGAATATCGCGGCGCATATGATAGACCGTATGAGAGAGAAAGAGATAGACCTTATGATCGAAATTATCCTGATAGAGAATATGAGAGGTTTGGTAGAGATAATTATGATCGTAACTATTATGCACCTCCAAGAGATGGTTATGATCGAGATGGATATGATAGAAGACCTTTACCTCCTCCTGACGTTCCTCAATATCCTCCCAGAGGTCGGCCCAGCTCTCCACCACCACCACGTAGAGGAAGCTATGAAAGAGGAATTAGGTAAAACATTTTTAGTTTTTGCGCTTATGATAAAATAATTTTAACAATTATATTATATGAATAGGGATCCGCCAATCTCTTATCGTGGTCGCTCACCATTACCTTCCTCTCGTTATCCTGATCCAATAATGCCCCCACCTGGCGGCGTATACAGGTTTTTTTTAGTTGTTGATTTTTTTGTTTGCGGAATTTTAGCTTTTTTAAATTTCAATAAAATGACTTTGTAAACATATAATAGAAGACGATCCGTTAGTCCTATAAGAGGCGGTAGAGCAACTATTCCTTACCAAACACGAAGATCACGACCGAATACTCCAACACCACCTAGGCGCTGAGAAGATATTTCCATGACTTTCTTATTTTGTGTGTATATATATATTCTTTAACGCATAGCATATTATATGGAGTTTCTTTCAATATTTATTCAATAGCAGTAAATATACGATCTACAATATATATATTATTCTTTTCTTTTATTTTTGTTTGCTTATGTCGCAACGAGCATCTCTTATCACTTTAAGTTTGATTACAAGTTAATAAACGGATAATCATTAAATATTTTTGGTATTTTTATTTATCAGAGAAAAATGTTTTTTATTCTATAAATTAAATTTTCTATTTTTATTATTAAATTAAATTAAGTTAAAATATTTTCAATGATTTATTTTTAACTCGTTCAGTAAGACAAACAATAAATTTAACCAAATATCAGTAGGACCTGGTATACACCATCTTAAACAATCACGACCGCCAATGTGACCATCAACCCTAGATTCCATAATATGTTCTAAATTCCAATAAACACCACCAGCAGCTTCAACAATTTCTTTAGCGATCATGTTTTGTTTATGTATTTCATCCCAATGATAAGGTAAATTCTTCAATTCATTAATATTATAATTGGTTGCTAAAGGTTTAAGATCAGGATCATCGCAATTTTGGTGACCTAATGTAGTAGATTTAAAGATGATGAGAGTATCTGGCCTGTTTTTTCGAATCTTTATTATTGCGTTTATTAAAGTTAATCGAAAAATCTTATCACTCTGATAATGATGACCTTTATTAAGTATGACTACATTATAATGATAAGAAAAAGGAGACCAAGGCAACTCTAAATTTCTTAATTCCATGATACCATGATCTTCCGGGAGAAGTATAACTTTTCTATTAGACAATATATCATTACGAATGTACTTCATCTTTGAAGTTAAATTAGAAAAATCTTCAAAAGGTGGTGAAGGTCGACATAGAACATGTTCTTTACATGAAATTTGACCATAACATTGTACAGGCCCATCATGAAAATAATCAAGTAATAGTTCATGGAGTTGAAATGATAACGCATCACCAACTAATAAAAATTTTAGACCCGTAATTAAAGAACAAAAATCTTCTCGAGTGAAATTAGGAAGTGGGCATTGTGGTGAAGGTTTCCAAATATATTTTACTGAATTTCTAGTATTTTCCCATATCTCTTCAATAGAAGAATTTTTTTTATTAAGATCAAAAGAGGATTGTAAACGTTTATCACATTTCCCGTAAAGGGTTTCTTGTTTATGTTTAAGAATTTCTCTTGGGGTATCATCAAATATCCATTTTCCTTTTGTAGTGATACACTCCATCTTTTCACGAAATGCTAATATTTCTTCTCGAGATTTGATATTTGAACCTGGAATGGAAGAAGGAAATGAATAATCTTTTAAATTATTTTTGATCATTATACGAGTTTTTTTCAAGGCAAGTTCCAATTCTTGAGCTCGTATCTTGAGTTCTGATTCATGATCTATTATTTGTGGAGAATAAGTTGGTAAAGGAGAAGGAGTTGGTCGATGGTTAAGATTTGTTGTAAAAAATGTTGCGACCAAGAAGGTTATTATTAACACGAAAAATACTAAAAAGACGCGTTTCATAATATTATGAATAAGCAAAGAAGAAAAAAGATAGAATGAGAAGACTTTTTAGGAAATTTAATAGCGAATTTAATTATAATTTCAAAAATGAAGGAAAAATAGTTGAGTATTTTAGGTTGTAAAGAAAAATCCCAATAGGTAAAAGAAAAGTAGTGAATTATCATCAAATCAAATTTATTGAAGCATGCATGTCGAACCTAATTATTTGCTACTATTTTTCCTAATAAAAAATCCTAAATCTTAAATAACTTCTGTTAGCATTCAGACAAATTAAAACTGTAAATGAATATATTATAACCTAAAAAAAAAAATGTGCCGCCTCGCTTTCTTGAAAAACAACAAAGAAAAAAATTTTTTATTTAGAGAGCTGTGTACAAAAAGATTTATTTAATATTTCTTGAAGCGTAAATTATATATATATATATATATGTTTTTTTTTTTTGAAAAAACGAGCTGTTACATGAAAGAGACAATAATTTAGAATGTTTTTAATGTTTTTGTAAAATTTGGAGCGAAGATATTAAGAAAGAATCTAAAGTTATTAAAGTCTAAAAATGTATAGATTAGTGAGAAGATTATTATATAAAATTTTTATTGATTTACATAGGATTTTCATGAAGTAGATCGTTTCTATATAAAATTAAATATAAATTAAATATTATTACTTTAATTGTTCAATTGCCAATCCGGAATTAAAATAAAATGAGTACTACTTCAACTTCTTCAACACCAAAATGCATGAAAGGCATATCTATTATACACGTTGGAAAACGTAATTTCCGTGTCCCAACTGCTTCTCTCCCTGATGGGCTCACTTCAAAACGAGATATTTATGGTAGATTTATTTTTATATTACTTGAATGATAGAAAAATATATTAATGATAAATTTATTCTTAGTTCAACGGCATGATAAGGAAAATAAGAAACCGGATATTAGTAACACGAAGACTGAAAATGAAAAGAAAGATGTTAAAAACGTTAAAGAATCAATTAAAAATGAAAACGAAAATTTTAGAAATGAATATGTCTCGATCGATCTTCAAATTCCACCGGCTTTTTACGGGTTCATCATTGGTAAATTTTATTAAACCATTCATTAATTAATATAATTATTCGCTAAAATGGGTTTTATGATAATATTATAGGAAGAAAAGGATCAAAAATAAATCAATTAAAACAAGAAACTAGAACATTTATAACTGTTTTATCGGATAAAGAACTTGTTAGTAAGTGTATAATATTGACATTTCAAATTAAATCATTATAGTTAACAATTAACATATACGTATTTTTATTATAGACATTAGGGGTTATGAGCGTAATGTTAATATGGCTAAAATTAAGATTTATAATATTATTGAAAATGTAAGCAATTTTAGTTTATTGTTAAGGAAAAGTTTTAGGAACAGGTATAACGAATTTCTAATTTTCTTGAATAATTTATTAGAAAAAATTTTTGTTACCACCGACACATTTCATTTCTTTACCTCTTAGCGATTCTAATACTCAACGAAAAGTAAAAGATTTTCAAAATGAGGTTCTTCAACTAAAACTTGCAAACATAGATAAATCTATACTTATAAAGCCTCCATCATTACATCTTACAATTGGAATGTTAAATTTGTATCGTAAAGAAGATATTAAAGAAGCAGTGGAATTACTTAAAAAATTATCACAAGAAATCAATGATTTAATAGGAAAACGAACTATAGTTTCTAACCTAACTGGTATAGAGATAATGGATGATAATAAGGGTATGTTGAAACAAGGTTTTTCATTATAAATTTTAATTGATTTATTTATTTATTTGTAATGACCGGTATATAATTTAGAAAAAACGCATGTCTTATATTCTAAAGTTGGGGAGCCAGAAGGACAAAATATCCTAGAAGAGTTAGGAGGTACGTGAATTTTTTTTTTAAAAAATTTTTAAGAAAGGAGTTAACGATTTCACTTTCTTAGGATTTTTAACCGATAAATTCGAAAAAGCGGGATATTTAAAGAAAGAAAATCGGCCACTAAAGGTTCGTTAAAGCTTAATTTTTATAAAAAAAGTTTATGATTTTTTTCTGATTTTTGGGTTAACTTTCCATATAAATTAGTTGCATGCTACTCTTATAAACACCAGGCATAGAAATAATGGTGTCGTAGCATCTAATCATGACAACAGACAAGGAGAACCGGTCAGAATTCCCTTCAATGCAACACCTATTTTTAATAAATTTTCCAATATAGAATTTGGAACTTGTCGAATCGAAAGTATACATATTTCAAAAGTTGGTGAATATGATGAACGTGGAAGACATCATAGTGAAGGTTGCATTAAATTGCCTTAGTAATAATTGGTTAAAGCTATTATAATGAACTTAATATAACAGATTTATTTAAATAAAAAAAATGGAAATTCTAAAATTCTGATATCTTTTTTTTAGGATGCGAGTGTTAGCAATGACCAATTTTGTATTCTTATCTGCTGATCGGAAGAGATCCCCTTAATTATATTAGTATTTTGTACTAGTAACCCATCAGCTATATAATGAACCCATCAGTTAAGCTTAAATATTAATTGCCCCAATTTTTCCAATCAGCCGATATGTCAAACTTATTATGAAGGTTGGACTAACTACACCAGAATTATATAGTCTAAACTGTGAGTTCGTGTGAGCCATTTTGAGGAAAGATCTTGGATCATATGAAGAGTAACATTCGTTAGGGATGATTTTACGGCAGAAGAAATCTTAATCTGACAATGATATTTGGGTTGCTACAATCCGAAGAGGTAACAAAGTTGGCCGTTCTGGTGCGTTTGTGAGAACTAGAACTTAAACTATTTTGAGGAACAGGAGGTTTCACAGTTTCATTAGGGGTACTTTTTGGGGTAATTGGGAGGAGGAATTTTCTAATTTTGCAATTCGGAGCTCGAGATCAGTCATTGCTTTCTACATCCCAGAAAGCATATTAAGAATTTTTCGGATGTATCATCTTACTTGTTAGAGTTATGGATCGAGTCATCAACGGAATTTCCATACTGTAAATAAGTGTAATGAGGGAGTTCTAATCCCGATGTAATATTCGTAATATTAGTAAATGAAAGATCGACATAATTCCCATTGTACATGATTATTTATTACATAAGTTAATTTCCGATTATTATAAGAACTACCTTAACAATGGACTTGCTTAAATTTGGCCGCGAATATTTAAAGGAAATCCCGAAGCTGGGAACGAAGAGATTTATAAAAATATCAAAAGGTTAATCAAGTAATCAACGTACGTTTACTGGATGTTATTACAACAGACAATTAATTCTAGTTTGTTCATCTACTCTTGTTGTGCTATAATATATGTCAACTTATTTATATCTAATTGGACCCTTAGCAGTTTTACATGAATGGCAATCAGATTCTTAATTATTTATAAAAAAGAGAATAAGAATTTTAAGATGGGTTGTATAATATTTTAATAGATTAATATTATAAGCTCTCACATATTTATTATAAATGAAATCTTATTAAGTTGAATTATATATTTATTATAAATCAATTACTTATCATAATATAGTAGAAACTTATAAATAAACCTTCTACTCTTAACGTTAATATTTGTTATTATTAATAATCTTTAAAATACAATTAATTATACAATTATTTTTGATTATAAACTCTAAAATTAAATGCATAAAGTTTAAAGTTATAATAAAAATACTTGGATTTTATCTACTAGTATTGATTATAATTGCTAAACCTACTTATTATTTTGAAGTTAAGCACCATTTTTAAGTATTTATATAAAAATAAAAAATAAAGAAAAAATATTATAAGTTTATATTTTATAGCAGAAATGTAATTAAATAAGTCATATTAAAAATATCAATAAAGTAATTAAAAATAAAATAGATAAATATTACATATCATTTATAAATTTTATATAACTATTTTTAGTTACTTAAAAATTAGCAAAATAATTATTAATTTTATCATCTAATATATATAATATAATATTTAATAAAATTAATAATAAACTTTATATAATAATAAAAAAATTTATAAATAAATGAATTATAATTTTTAATATTATGTAATATTAATTAAAAAAATTAAATATTTTGAAGAAAAATTAATATTAATATTTAATATAAAAATTTTAATTTGTTATAAATATATATGAAAAATTTTATAATAAAATTAATAATTAATTTAATTTAGTATAAAAGTTTATATTATATTATATTAAACTATTTTTTTTTTTAAACAAATAAGAACTTTAAATATACATATAAATTATTTATGATATCAAATTAGATTTATAATAATTAATTTATATATTATGTATAATTGAAATTACATAATTCTAAATATAAATAATTTACTATCATTATTTCAAAAATAAATATTTAATAATGGCTTAATAATATAAAGTTTTAAATTAATAAATCATATAGCAAATTTAATAAATTAATTTCTAATAAATAAATTTGTATTATAATTAATAATATTACAGTCAGTTTTTTAAGATGCTTATGAGTGATAAGCGAAGCAGTACCGAAAATAAGCACCACCCGAAAATAAGCATCTCCATTTTTTAATATTACCTGAAAATAAGCATGCCTCGAAAAAAAATGTAAAAATAAAAAAAAAATTTATTATTCCATTATTGTAATATAAAATTTATTTGAAAATAAAG